AAACTCCATAAAATCCAAATAACATAATAAATCTCAAAAATAACGATAAAAATAAGTCTGAAAATAAATAAATAAAACTCCCAAAAACACCAGTCCGAAATGATCACTCCTGATCGTCAGTATCACCTGAAATGGGGGAAGAAAGAGGGGTGAGTAACGGGGGAGTCACTCAGTGAGGTATGGGATGCTAACCACAAACCACTGACTCAGTACATAGCACTACGACTATATAGGCCTAGCTCTAGCATGAGACAATCACGGTGTTTATTACACCTCACAGAACAATCATATGCCTAGAGCACCATACAACAACAATCAATGCGATGATAGTACATAGCTATTCTCTGCACCCCGCAATCTCCTCATAGGGATATACATATATAACTCTACAGGCGTCGCTAGTACGGTAGTCCACTCCGTACCCCCGCAATCTCTACGGCACGCTAGTACAAACGTCTCTTGACCCCGCAATCTCCACACAAGACGGCGCTAGCACAGACGTCTATGTGCCCCCGCAATCTCCTCAAACAAGGCGTCGCTAGTACAGACGTCTCTGCACCCCCGCAATCTCTCATACATGGACTTATATATATACATATACATATATCAATTCTTAACATCAATCATGTCACACAACCGTTGAATCATCTATTATCCTATATCCGGTTTAGCAATCAATAATAATAAGTAACAAAACAAGACTCTCAAACAGACTCGATTCACAGAGACGGATCATGTTTCGAAACTAAACTTTTCATAATAGTAGTACTAAACTAGTTCGGGATTTAAAGGAATAGCCCTCACCTTAGTCACTGGCTGGAATGATCAACAGAAGATGGTCAACTGACGTCAACTGCAACACGAGGGAATCAACGACTTAGGCTCAAAGTCTCAGGAAATAAAGTTTCCGAAAATAGCAACATTCCTAAAATAGAAACTTTCCTAAAATAGAAACTTTTCTAAGATAGCTTCCCTAAAATGGTGGTTTCCTAAACTAGAAATTCCTCTAACTAGAACTTTCCAAAAATAGAACTAGAGAGGCAATAAACTTACCGGAACTATCGCCTAAAACTCGCCCGGGGACCTGACCGAAACTCTCGCCAGAAAATTACTTAGTGACTGGTCGTCGAATAATTCAACAACTTGTCACACGCAAAGAAATACTTTGACTTGATGAGAATCAAAGAGAAGGGGGGAGTTTATTATATAGGGAAAGAGAAGGGAGGTTAATTTCCTACACTTCTAATGTGGGACAAAGTAAAATACTTAAGAATTTTAATTACTATAGAAAATTGGCCTATCCTAGGTTTTGGGTCGTTACAGAAATTTTCTTGTCTTCTATCATCTTTATCATAACTTAGAAGAACAATGAGAATATATATATATATATATATATTTTTTTTTTTTAAATGAATGCAACAACTATAGAACACACTCGATCAATATATTTCTTTTTTAGCGATGCCACGAAATAATACTTTTCCTAATGAGTAGGAGTCCTACTGTAGGACCAAACATAATTATTAGTCATATTGATAAACGTGGATTTATTATATCTACTATATTAAAACAGAGTCATTATTTTTATCTACTGATACAAGTTGTCATTTAAATTTGGACCATTTGTAGAATGTTACAAATAATATAAGTCATATAATTAATTGAACCGTATTACTTAAATTAAACCAACACAATTAATGTAAGAAGACGACCTTAATGTAAACTACCTTCAAAATACGACAGATATCTATGTGTATAGCGAAAACACATATTTTCTCCTACAAATATGGAATGTTCTAAAAAAAAATATATCATCAAAATATGGAATATGGAAATCTACTAATCTTATATATTAAAACAGAAGTCATGACTTAACTTCATGTGTGATTTTTTCTAAAATGAACAATTACTAGAAAATCATGTTACATTAACTCTCTAATAATCTTATTATTATTATATCTTATGAAAATCATATCTATAATAACAAACTTAATAATTTAGTTTTGGTAAATTACCCCACACCTTCCAATTTAGTCACGCAAAATATGTCAATATTTATAAGTTTAGAAATCTTCTATTATTTATAAGGAAATATGTCAATAATAGTTAAATGCATCCACAATATATTAACAAAAATCACAGATTTGTAATATGGAATATTTATATACCCTAACAAAATTTATATGCTATATATACTAGATAAATTTATTTTGATGTAAATTTTTAAAATTACATAGTTTTAAAAAAATAAATTGTGTAAAACTTCTTTATAATATTAACTTATGAAGCTATAAGTTTAGTTTTCAGAAAATTTTTTTTTGAAGTTTATATTATCTTTGCAAATTAAAGTATACTAATATCTAATCAAACTCTATTTATATTATTTTATCTAAAAATGAAATATCAATCTAACAAACAATAAAATATAAAAGAAGAAACAAACACATGTTTGAAAACATGTATAATATAAAAAAAAATTTGAAACAATCTATTTGATTAAAACACGTATTATATAATATTATTATGTTTGAAAAAATTTTACTATACATATCATAAATATGTGATTACTATAATATATATCAATTTTACAAGTGAAAACAAAATGTTTGTATAAATAACTAAAAACGAAAACAAACACCCGCGCGGTTGCGCGGGTCAAAATCTAGTTATACTTAAATTAAACCAGTGGTTATTTATGGAATATAGTCTTGGGCTTACTTTTATTTTTTGAACAAATTATATAGTTTGGTTTTTGGGCTTAGTATTAAGAAAAAACTCCAAAAACATTGAATAAGCTTTTCACCTTAAAAGAACAAAAAAAATCAATTATTATTTTCAGATCCAAAAGGTATTTAATATTTTTAACAAAACAAAATTATCTATTATTAATCATTTATTTAAATCATGTACTTTAAAACATGTTAATATTTTTTATGTTAAATAACAATCACTTTGTTTTGATAAATTTCAATTGTAACTTTTAAATAATTTATTGTTTTATTTTTCTTAAATAATTTACTGATTAAAAAAATGTAAAGCAAAACCAAAAACCAAATCTAAAAATTAAATCCAAAACCAAAAGCTGAAAACACATGTTATATTTTTTTGCTTTGTTTATTTACAAAATAAAGTATTTCAAATTTTTTTATTTAAATTTGTTGTCATCTTTTCAGTTTTAAATTAGATGGTCGATTATTGTTTGTTGGTAAAATCAGTTCAAACTAATTCAGCGGGTATAAAAATTAAAAACCCAAACCAAAAACTGAAAATGGAAAGTAGAAACTTAAAAACTAAAAACCAAAAACCAAAAACCAAAATCGAAAAATAAAAAGTGAAACTAAAAACTAATGAACAACAATCATCACCACAAATTTTGGTGAACTGATTTTATATCAAAATATTCTTTAAATTAAGACAAAACTCAATTATATAAAATTTTAATCATAAAAAATTTCCTCGCTTTTCAAGCGCGGGTCAAAATCTAGTGTGAGATTAATATTGCTGATCTAAGGTTTATCCAAACTAATAGTAAAACTGCCATGTCAGTAATGTAGAGACATAAGATAAGAAATTGATTATTCAGTAGATTAAAGGGTTTTTAATAATAAAACTCGTCAAGTAAAGATGGATCGTAAAAAAATCATCAACTAAAGATTTAGTGAAATAAACTTTCAACTTTAGTTCCGTTAATGTCTATCGCCTTCCGTCGCGATAGACATTAACGGAACTAAAGTTAAAGGTTTATTTCACTAAATCTTTAGGTGATGGTTTTTTTTTACGATCTATCTTTAGTTGAGGGCTTTTATTACTAAATACGGTTAAATATTTTAAAATATTTATTATTATTTATTCATTATTTAAGAATTTTAAAATTGATTTATAAACATTTAAAATCATTTTTATTTTTTATATATTACTATATCATTTTATAACCTATTTATAAAGTTATCTCATTTAATATTTTTATAAATTATTAAGATTTAATGATGATTTTATAAGATTAAAGATGTGATTATTCGTCATACTACACAAACATAAAGTAAATAACTAAAACAAGAAAATTTTATTAATTAATATTGGTTCAAAAATCAAAACATAGAAAAATAATCCTACATTATGTTTTCTGAAATAGAAAAAAGTATGAATCAAATTGAAATTGTGTAAAGAGGAGAAAAAAGCCATTGCCATATTAAGTAACAATGTTGAATTTCTAAACTAATTAAATATCTCAACACTACCTACAACTTTATATAACTCTTAATTATTTGATATTTGACAATATTAATATAAGAAAATTGTATGTGTTTCCTCTTTTATAAAACTTTATCGCTTTACTTCGTAATATCAAGAAAAATTAGGTATTATTTCATCATAAGAAATAGCAGACAAAAGCTTATAAAATCATCGTTAAACCTTATCAATAGTTTATAAGAATATTAAACTATTTACTAAGCTTTATAAATAAGTTAAAATTTGATAAAGTAATATATAAAAAATTATAAATGATTTTAAATGATTATAAATCAATTGTAAGCTTCTTAAATAATAAATAAATGATAACAAAGATTTTAAAATATTTAATCATATTTAGTAATAAAACCCCTCAACTAAAGATGGATCCTAGCAAAAACCTTTAACTAAAATTTTAGTGAAATAAACCCTCAACTTTAGTTATGTTAACGTATGTCATCCTTCGTCTAAGATTTCGTGACGGATGGTGACATACATTAACGTAACTAAAGTTGAGGGTTTATTTCTCTAAATCTTGAATTGATGGGTTTTTTTACGATGCATCTTTAGTTGAATGATTTTATTATTAAAAACCCTAGATTAAAATATAACTAATACAAATAGATTATTACATCTTTTTTAATGTTACACTTGTTCGATTCTCCTTCACACAAACTTCACTGAGGGGTAGGTAGTGAGTATAGTGACTAGTGAGAGCTTCTATAAATATCTCCACGAACCATGGAGCACAAAAAGAGAGAAAGAGAAAAATGAATCAGATTTTATCTGTGGTTACCATTTTTCTGGCTTTAGCATCGTCTGGGAAATGCAGCAATGTTTACAGCAGGAAAGATTTTCCAAAGGGCTTCGCTTTCGGTGCAGCCGCTTCTGCTTATCAGGTTCTCAGCTAATTCATTTTTTCAACTTATATAATTCTTCCAGTTCCACTTTCATCTTATGTTTCTTTTTAAAATTTTTTTTTCTTTTCAATTATGTGTGTTAATTTTTAAAAGTGGGAAGGAGCTGTTGATGAAGACGGTAGAACGCCAAGCGTTTGGGACACTTTTGTTCACTCTCGTAAGCTTTTTTTTTCCTCACATTTTACTCGCTATGTTTAGACTTTTTACAAATATTTGAAGTTTTTAGTAGTATTCATTCTTAAAGATAAAAATTGAGAAAATTTGTCTTTAACTTGACAGGTAACCAAGCTAATGGAGAAATAGCATGTGATGGTTATCACAAGTACAAGGTTCCTATTCACTTTCTGTGAATATTTTTGTTCATTAATGTTAAATCTTTGCTTATGATGACATGAAATGGTTGCAGGAAGATGTGCAACTAATGGTGCAAACTGGCTTAAATGCCTACAGATTCTCCATCTCTTGGTCTAGGCTTATACCGAGTAAGTTTTTTTTTTCTTTTTTTTTTTGTTATACTTTGAAGGAACAGTTTCTTGAATTGTTGCGATTTCATTCAATTAGATGGAAGAGGTCATGTTAACCCAAAGGGTCTACAGTTTTACAAGAACTTCATCGAACTACTAGTAAGCCATGGTGAGACTTGAAAACCATATTTAGAAACTCAATTAGTATATTAATTCCGTTTCTAGGAACTGGACGTAAATAAAGTTACTACAGGGATTCAACCACATGTTACACTCTACCACTACGATCATCCTCAGTATCTCGACAATGAATATGGAGGATGGCTCAACCGAAGAATCATGTAGGCTTGAACAAAAATCGTAATTTTTTTTATACATATTTCTATAAAGAAAATAAAATATTTGATGTTATTTGCTTATCATTGCAGTGAAGACTTTACTGCTTACGCAGATGTTTGCTTCAGAGAGTTTGGGAACCATGTCAAATTCTGGAACACGATCAACGAGGCTAACATATACACTATAGGAGGATACAGTGATGGGTTGACACCGCCTGGTCATTGCTCCTCACGAAGTATATGCTCGTCAGGGAACTCTTCGACTGAACCATATATCGTAGGCCATAACTTGCTTCTTGCGCACGCCTCTGCTTCAAGACTATATAAGCAGAAGTACAAGGTATTGATTCGTTCATTATTATATATTTTTGGATACCCTCTCTTGAACGTTTGAGTTGATGTGATGACAAAAAGGAGACCATATCATTATATTATTTCAGGATATACAGGGAGGTTCAGTAGGGTTTAGCGTGTTTGCTTTAGGGTTTACTCCTACAAGCTCTGCGAATGATCTGATCGCAGTTCAAAGAGCCAAAGCTTTCTTGTTTGGATGGTGAGTCAGGCAGCATCAACTGTTCCAAAAAAGCTTTTTTATATAAAAAAAAATCGGAAACATATAGATCCAAGGTTCTATTTAAGCTAAAAAGATGATAAAGCATGCTCCCTCCATTTCGTTAGGATTATATATGTTTTAGAAATTCCCAAAAATACACTTTTTATTAGTTGAAAATATAAAAAATCAAAAAAAAATATTGAGTTTAAATTAAACTACTAGTAGTATGATTTAGAAATAGTGAAATTGCTAATTACAAAAAAAAAACAAAAACTTTATAATAAATGTTTAATATGTGTGTTTGCGTGTGAAAAACATTGGAAATTTTATTTTTAAGAAGCGGAAGTAGAATAGTATTTTCTTCAAATTCCAGGATGCTTGGGCCTCTTACATACGGAGACTATCCCGATGAAATGAAAAGAACCCTTGGATCAAGACTACCAGTTTTCACAGAGGAAGAATCAGCATTAGTTAAAGACTCTTCTGACTTCATAGGAGTCATTCACTATCTTGCAGCTTCTGTGACTTCTGTCACACACGTCAAATCCCAAAGTGACCCAGGTTTCTTCACAGACATGGGCGTATCTTTGAAAAGTATGAAACTGTCTTTAAACAAACAATAAACAAAATCTCTGCTCTTTTACCTCTTTAAAAAAAAAAAATATTTGGCTAAATCATCTGTTCTTTGTTTTACTGCTCGGGAGGACAGTCCTTGGGAATTATACATCTTTCGACGTAAGTTGCTAAAAGTTTTAAATACTCAAAAGTGTTCTCAATTCATTTTTCTTAGTTGTTTATTTTCTTTGGACCAGTATGCTATTGTTCCATGGGCTATGGAAGCTGTCCTGGAGTATATAAAGGAGAGCTATGGCAATCCTCCTATCTACATTCTCGAGAATGGTCTCTCTCTTTATATATATATATACATATCTTACCTATTTTTTGATTTTTTTTGTTTTAGTTTTCTCAATTCCATTACCAATTCAAATCAACGTAGGTACACCAATGAAGCAAATATTGAAGGACACACCAAGGATTGAATTCTTACAAGCTTACATTGGTGCTGTGCTCAACTCCATTAGGTAAGTGAAGTTTTCTAGTTACATCTTGTCTTCTAAAGAAAATACATTATTACAACGTGTAGGAAGGGATCAAACGCGAGAGGCTACTTTGTATGGTCTTTTATGGATCTATATGAGTTACTAAGCGGATACGACTATAGTTTTGGATTGTACTATGTGAATTTCAGCGATCCTCACCGCAAGAGAATTCCAAAGCTCTCTGCTCATTGGTACTCTGCTTTTCTCAAGGACAACACCACCTTTCTTGGTTCACAAGGCATCGCTCAATTGCAAAGCAACTTTTCTTCTCCCTACTAGTAATGTCGCATTTATGATATATTCTTATGAATCGGATTCTGTTATTCGATAGATATAGTAAAATCGCACAATAAAGCATTCACATTTGTAAACAGCACATGGGTTACCTAGTAGCCCCATTGTAAGCTTCCTTGGAATATCATTAAAAATTATTTGAAATTAAAAGGTTGCATTATCATAAAATGGACCTTTTGGATTTACATTGGTCTATGTATAGTTTAAACTTGGATGGAATTGTGTTACTTGAATAAGCCTCAGAGTGTGTCCCCTCCCCTTATTTACTGATTTTGCATATACTAGCATGGGCGCAAAGAGCATAGAACGGTCCTATCTTTTTATCTTCGTTATTTTTTTCGGTTATAGAGTGTTTTTATTTTTATTGGTAGGGCTTTCTATATAGATTGTTTGTTTACTCCCTATTATCCTGATCATGAGGCTAGTTGTTGAAGCATGTGGACTTAGTTTTAGGAAACTATGGCTTGAGATAGTTCATCGAACCTTGGAAAGAACAGGTCCTGCTTTCATCAGATGGGGTCAATGGGCAACTACTAGACCAGATCTCTTCCCATAAGGATCTGTGTTCACAGCTCTCAAAGCTTCACAGTAATGCTCATGATCATAGCTTTGCCTACACTAAGAAAACTATTGAAAGAGCGTTTGGTCGTAAACTTTCTGTGATATTTGAGTTGCTGTCAGAGTTAGACATCCTAGTGTTAGTGAATCTATTAGGGACTTTAGGAGAGATTTTGTGGCAAAGATATTGACTTTAGTTCCTGCTTTGAAATGGTTGAGGTAGGACGAGAGTGTGCAACAGTTTGGTGTCTTCATGTTGTCTCAAGTTGATCTATCGAGGGAAGCTTCTTATTTGAGTCGGTGTTCATATACAACTTCCGGAGATGGAATGATGTTTTCTTTCCCTAAACCTGTGTACCCACTTCACTTGTACACCCTGCTGGTTTTTGTTTACCATGCCGGTCTCCGCGATCTTGCGGTTGCGGTTTAGTGTAAGTTGACATTTAAAATTAATATTAATCCAACAGATAAAAAAGGATAATTTCAGGTCAGAGAACTCTTCAAATGACTTCTACAAGTGTTCTTCTAAATGCATTATCTTTCCACATATCTTTATCTAACTAATCTAATAATTTAATTTTAATCAAAACTTAATTATTTAATTTAAATGCTATTATTTTGTTTTTAAGAACTTCTATTTTACATACTGACTAATAAGGTTGCTCTAACTATCTTCACTGAGGTACAACCAATATCTATCTTTAAAAAGAGAACGATAATTAAATAAAAAACAATCCGAGTTTCTTTCATCAACCATTTTGTTTTGATTAACAGATATGTTTTTCATATGCGAATACTTATTTCCTTAGACTTTAGAGAAATGTTCATTATTATTTTTATATTTACAAAAATAAACGTGGACACTTTTTTTTTTCCTCGGCTGCCCATCTAAAAAACTAGATCAAGTGGTGAACAGATAAGTCGATCCTCCTAGGAGCACCTATATCTGGTCTGGTCTGATCTATATAGGAAAATGTAAATCCTTTCTTCCTTGCATCTTTAGCTAATGTATCAGCTCGACCATTCATACTCCGAAGAATATGAGACTGACTCACATCCTCGAAGTGGAGATGCTCCAGAGACTATCGGAAACGTGGACACCTAATGGTCTGTTCTTCGTGTCGGCTCATTTTTGTTTTCATTTTACTATTTAATTTTCCTTTTCTTAGAAATATTTAGATTTGTTTTTTTAAAAGGAAGATATAAGAAACCTTTTTTTTACTACAGACTAAAAAGTTAAGGTATTGGAAACCATAATACAGAGTAGTAAACAAGACCATCTTTACAATGCATTTACATATGGAATTAGTTACGACGTATTGCTGAATCAAAATAATCAAGGCGTGCCATTATGACACTATAAAAAATTTCTAACGACAACTAATCGAGTATATGTGTTCATCATATAATAGTAATTTATTAAGGGATCAACCACCAAACATGAAATCCACTATTCATCTATACATTTACGTAGTCTCACAATCGTACGTACAAATCATAAGCGCTCAAAAATGAACAACGCAAATAAGTGTCAACAACATTATATTATATATATATATATATATATATATATGTACTGTGTACGCACAACATAACAAGAGTTAACTGTAAAAGTAATCATTTTTTCAAAGTTCTATTTAACTAAAGAACTATTTATGTTGATTTTCTAAAATGGCATTTTATAAACACTACATTTTTGATGAAGTTTGTAACAAAACTAGTTCTCGTTTTTTTGTTTATTTTACTTTGCCTAGATACTAGTTAGTGCCCTTTTTAAAAAAATAAGTGAAATATTATCTATACGGGGACTAAATGCCAATTCCAATTGCTATAGATACAACAACTGTTCCGATCGGAAAAAAAAAGAGTTATTTTCATTGCAGGTCACTTTTCATGTTTTTATTACACGGGAGATCACATTCTGCTACTAAGGTACTTTATAGTGGTTGAAGACTCATTTATCCTCCATAAAGTAAAACTAAACGTGGATATTTGAGTAATTAGATATTTTTTTTCTAGTTAGGCTGGTTAGGCTTTTGATTTCTTTTTTTTTTTAAATAAAAGACTTTGCGTAGGAAAAAACGACGACCACGACTTCCGACAGAGCGACGAACACGATTTATGACAAACGAGATTTCCGACGGACAGAAAAGATGATGTCATCGCAAAAGATAAGAGTTTCAGAAGGTAGAGCGAAAGGTAAGATATGTTTGGGAATTAGGGTTTCGATTCTGAGCTTTCAATTTTGGGATTAGGGATTTGAATTTGAGATTTTGATTTTTAAATTAGGGGTGTAATTTGAGATTTTATCCAAGACCCTTGATATGAGGATTTACATTTCAAAGTTTATGGATTATGGTTTCAATTCAGGGATTTTGATTTTGTGATAAAGGTTTCGGATTTGGGATTTCTATGATAATGAAATATTAATGGAGGAAAAGACTAAGCTTATAACTGGTTTTGGTGTTTTGACAAAACTGTGGTAGGTGTACACCAACACGTGTGTACACCAACACGTGTGTACATATGAACACACAAGGACTATGTACATCTGTACACGAGTAAATATATACAATTTGAAATGTGTATTCATATGTATAAACGAGTATACAAACAACTTTAGGAAATAATACGTAAATATACATATGTGGTATGTACATAATCCTAGTTTAGTAGATTGACATGTACAATGTTGTGTTTGTTGTTGTAGGAGACTGGAGCCGGTAATGCATAAGGGCCATGCGAAGAGGTTGTGTGCCTTTCACTGGAACTGAACCAGTTTACATATGTATTCATCAATGGAGTGAGATTCAGACAGTTTGTTACATCCTCAGTGGTCTATACTATATACTTTTCTCTCTCACATTCATTTACTTAACGAGTAATCATTTTCATGTATGCTACACTGTATCAAAGTTGGGAAACATGCTCTCTGTTTAGTTGTAAGATTTTTGAATATTTGAGAGGTTTAGCAGAACTTGCTTATCCATATGTACACCGAGCTGCATTATCCATATGTACACGTAGCCGAAAAACCCACATGTTCACTAGATTACAAACATTCATATGTATGTTGATTCAAAACTATTTACATTTACACATTTCATAATTGTTCACTTTTAAACATGATCTAGCTGATAAATGCCTCTTTTGAAACTAATTAATTCAGCCATATGTATCCACATGTTCACTAGATTAAAAACATTTATATGTATGCTGGTCCAAAAATATTTACATTTACACATTTCATAGTTATTCACTTGTAAACATGTTCTAGCTGAGAACTGCCTCTTTTGAGATATTGCACATCACCTGTATAATATACAAATGTAACAGTGTACACATAATTTTTTGTGAAACTGTTGTACACGTGTACAATGAAATATAGTGTTCATCGTGATGATTTGTACATGCAAATGTAACAAATATTTTTTTTTGTTTATGAGAACATGTTAAAATTCCATGTGGTCTTGCTCCTCGTAAGTACCATAAGTATTTCTCGAAGCCATAATCATCGTGGAACCAGAAACAAGGGATGACATGTTATCGAAATGAAATGCCATGGTTGCCTAAAAGCTATGTACATTTAAAAAATCATTTTTGCAATCTTTTAAAAAAAATGTCCATCTAATATGTTATCCATGTGTACATTAATAATTATGTTGTACATGTGTACATGTATACACGTGTACATGATCAAACCATAGCATGTGTACAATATTATCATGTACATTGTACATTTGTATAAATGAGTAGTATACGTAGTCTCATTATCCATGTGTATACTATCCTAATGTACATTGATATATATAAATGAGTTGTGTACATAAATTTCGTTATTCACGTGTACACAATCCTGATGTACATTGGAGATTATATAAAATGAAAACAATTATATATCTTATGTTTCATAAATTTGTATAAATGAGTAGTATACATAGGTCTTGTTATCCATGTGTACACTAATCCAATGTACATTGGTTAATTGAGTAATGTGGTTTTGTTATCCAGATGTACAATATCCTCGTATACATGGGAGATTATATAAAATGAAAAGCAAGTATACATCTCTAGTTTCATATCTTTTGTTTCATAAATTTGTATAAATGAGTTGTATACATAGGTCTCGTTATAAAATGAAAGCAATTAGATATCTTTTGTTTCATAATTTTGTATAAATGAGGGGTACACAGGTCTTGTTATCCATGTGAACATCAATCCAATGTATATGTGTTAAATGAGTAGTGTACAAAGTTTTGGTTATCCAGGTGTACAATATTCTAATATACATTGGAGATTATATAAAATGAAAAACACGTATATATCTCCAGTTTCATAATTAAGTTTCAAACAAAAACCAAACACAATGACACATGATACAATTTTCAGTATGCACAATGTACATCTGCCATACAATATCCATATGAAAATACATTTATCATATATATGTTTGCATCTCCAACAAAAATCACCTAAATGTAGTATTATTGAAGTTTTATGAAATCTGGAAGTTGAAAGAGATTAATCAGATATTAAATATTTTCAGATATGTTGTATCCGTGTGTACACAAAATATGTACACATTCCAATAATTACAATGTACGTGACTAATGCTAAACGTGTACATCTTCACAAGTGTATATTCTTTATTATTAAATCAATATTCCACCTATATAAGAAATAATTTGATAAGAAAACAAGTGAAATCCCTCGTCATCACCGGCTCATTCCAAAATGATCCAGCACCAAATAACGATTCACCACCGTGGGTCTCCTTTTCAACCCGACTCAATCACTAGTGTGACCTATGTGGTGGTGTACACAAATTGGTGTGTACATGTGTACTATGTTGAATATTTATCCACGTGTACAACATATAAACTTATCGATTTACATATCCGCATGTACAAAAGACATCTAGCCTTTATTTCTTACATATTGTCCACCTTCGTGAATTCTTCCTAACACATACATTCTAACTTTATGTCATAAGTCATAATGTAATAACACAGAAAACAACACACCTCAAGTTTCTGACTCATGAAGGAGTTTTTAAAAAATCAATCTTAAACTTGAGAAGAGACAAGAAATGTAAATACAAACTGAAACAAGGAATCAAAGTTAAAGTGATAAACTTCTTAAAATGCTAAAGAAAAGTGGTTGAGATGATGAAGAATGGTTGTTGAGACGACGAAGAACAATGGTGGAGATGACATAGAACAGTGGAAGAGACAGATGAAAGACAACATAGCATAATTCCACCCACGAAGAAGGTTGGTGATGTTAACTGTATTTCCACCGTTGGATGATGGGTCTTCTGCATCGTCTCCACCGTCGTCTACGTCTCTACCGTCGCTACGCCAAAGTTGATTACATATATGTCATTGATATCGTTATCATATAAGTCACTATTACACTATTACACAGATATATCTTGATTTATCTTAAAAAGTAGATTAAGAAACAGAGACAATAATTATATGTAAGTCCTTTTGAAGAAACAATCTGAAGAATTAGATTTTAACTTAGAGAAAAATAGTAAATTTAGAAGGAAGAAGACGAAGAAGAAATAGAAAACACAAAATAATATAAAAATAATATTTTATTATTTAGTTAGACATTAGTTAGACTGTAAGTGATTCATAAATTGGGAAGAGTGAACCGTGTATTGGAAGAAGAAAAAGTGTCTGAGGAGAAAAAAGTGTCTTATGATATTTAAAACTTAAAACTGTCTTGTAGTGTAATTTTTTCAAAAAAAAAAGAGAAGAAGTAAATTACAGCATTAAGTATCTGAACATGCAGAACAACTGTTTGTATCCTTAAAAACCTATTTTGATAGACGTTCATCATTCCCTGAAGCAGAATAGGGGCTAGCGGTCAGTAAAAATTAAATTGTGGAAAAGGAGTTATAGTCGATGAAAAGTTACCATCGGCTCACCCACCTTATAAATACTAGTATTATTTGTGTGACCTTCACTATGCGTCATCATTATACGGAATTTATTTTCCTCATAATCATAAACAGTCACAAAGTGCTGAGAATATCTTCTACTGTTCTTTTTGTTGTCATGCATGCACGCCGTTTTACTTTTGTTTATACGAAAAACACGCATTGTGTTCTATGCATCAATTATTATTGTCACAAAAATTCCAATATTAGCATGTAGTATCCTTAATCAATCTTGTATGCATGCAAGATATCATTTAAATAGGGAACTACATTATTGTTTCGATAAGCATTTTTCAAATGCTAATATGTCTTAACTTGCCTTACAAGTTATCACTATGCAAATGTATAGCCTTCTATCGTTTATAATCAGTTGTGATAAAACATATAGTAACACTTTTAATGCAGCTACTAAAGGATGGTAGGTAAAAGAGAAGTTAACTGATGCAACAAAAATATAAAGAAAAAGGAAAACAGTAAAGGACATGTGTGAGAGCAAATTATAATCGAACAGTAAAGGACATGTGTTAGAGCAAAAATATTTTGATAAGATTTTTACCGTTTGAAATGATCTTAGACATCTATGGAAAGATAAGCACATGCTGAATTAATTAGTTTCCCAGGGTTTTAAGAAAAAATGTGCCTAACAGAAAAAGAACCATGGACATTTTTACCGTTTGAAACTACCTTAGACATCTATGGAAAGATAAGCACATGCTGAATTAATTAGTTTCTCAGGGTTTTAAGAAAAAATGTCTCTAACAGAAAAAGAACCATGGACATTTTTGGGAAAGGGGTTCTTCACTACGTACCACAAAAAAAAGAACCATAAATTTAATTATTCTCTATTGTATTTTTAGGAAAGACCATCCACTTACAATACAATACATTGAAATACTATATGTTATACATTGAAATACTAGATAATCATGTCATACACTTGTATCATCCGTTATAACTATACATTCAATTTTAAACAGAAGAGAGAATAATGCTTTTTTCACCCATTAAGCACTACTAAATTCAACGTACCGTACTGCGTAAAATGATCCCTTTATAAACTAGTAATCAGTCCTGTACTGTAAACCACTTTTGGCTATCTCTCTCTCTCTCTCTTTCTCTCTCGATCTCCATCTTGTGGAAAATGCAATCACCGTCCCAATGTCCTTCTCCCCCTTCAGGTCAACGTGAAGGTCATACCAAGAACATAGCCACGCCGGTGACTAACGAAGAAGACCCTATGGTAGCCGTATCTGCTGTGAAAGGCATTCTCGCTGGGGGGGATTCACAGCCTGTTGGTGACGTCGATTCTCATGCCGTGTCTCCGGATCCTGTTCCATTTGCACCTACTCTAGGAGCTTGGGAAAAACCCTTGAAGATTCATCTTCCTTCTTCTTCTTCAGGGTCGACCGTACCATGGGACGCTGGTTCGAACCTCTTCCAAGATCCGTCAGACACGTCGCAGTTGCCATCTTTCTCTTCATGTCAACGTGAAGGTCACACCAAGAACATATCCATGGAGGTTATAAACAATTATGCGTTAACTTTTCACTGGTTGAATTAGCGTTTATGTTCATTATATAAATTTCTAGGTTTAACTTCTAGTAGCTAATCATGATTATAAACTATCAAAAAATATAGATATTTAACTTCTTACTCAAGATAAAGCCTAATATGAACCAACACGGATCCATTGTTTAATAGCCCAAAACCCTAATTATTCTTCCTCGTGAATTAGTTATTGTGAGGTTTGTCGAGTAAAATAGCAACAACCGAGAGATAAAACCCGTTTCTTTGTTTTTTAATTGCTTATATAGTTTCTCTTATGTTCTTTATAGCATGTATCACTGCTCGAGTTTCCTAACTGAATTTATATATTTCTTGTTATAACATTATACTGGCGCTCACTGAATTTCATATGTTATATTATTAGGCGCTTGGAAGTACGGCAGACGTTATCGTCGCAAAGAATGGTGGAAATTTTACAACCGTGACGGAGGCGGTCGCCGCCGCTCCGGAGAATAGCAAGACGCGGTATACTATATTCGTGAAGAGAGGCACTTACCTAGAAAACGTGATCATCGGGATAAATAAAACGAATCTAACCATCTTGGGAGAGGGAAGTGACTTAACAACTATCACCGGCAGTTTGAACCACGCTGATGGTAAAGGAACATACGATTCGGCAACACTTGGTAATTTTTCATTTTTTTTTCTAGATTATTATTGATTTCTTTTATTTCCAAGTTATTATGATTTTAGGAATACTAAGACTCTTTTATACAAATTTCAGCTGTTGATGCAGAGGGGTTTATGGCCCAGGACATACATATGCATCCAGAACACAGCCGGGCCAGCTAAGGAACAGGCTGTGGCTCTCCGGATCAGCGCCGATAGAGCGATCGTATACCGATGCCGTATTGACGCTTTTCAAGATACACTATACGCCCACATCGGGCGACATTTCTACCGCGAATGCTACATTACCGGCACTGTAGATTTCATTTGCGGACAAGCAACGGCTGTGTTCCAGAGCTGCGACATTGAAGCTCGGAAACCACTTGAAGGACAAAGCAACATGATTACTGCTCAACAGTGCCAAACACAAAGCAAGGACACATGGTTTTCCATCCATAAGTGCAACATAAAGGCGGCTCAAGATCTCATTCCAGTTAAGGGAACAATGAAGACATTTTTAGGACGACCGTGGGGTGACTATGCAACAGTAGTATTTATGAAGTCAGTCATAGATGATCTCATTGATCCGGCCGGTTGGGCTCCTTGGGAAGGCAAGGAAGAACGTCTGTCTACTTTGTTCTACGGAGAATACCAAAACAGCGGCCTGGGGGCGGATACAATCAATAGAATAAAGTGGAAAGGATTCAAAGTAATAACAGATCCAAAAGAAGCTGAGCAATTCACAGTGGGTAGACTTCTAAGAGGAGAGTTATGGCTTAAATCTAGCGGAGTTCCTTACGAAGAAGGACTTTGATTACACTACATCTAATTATGAATGTTCTTCTATTTGTGTAATGGACCTCTTGAGTTGGACTACCTTTTAGGCCCAATTTAATTTCAAGTTTATAAAATATTCAGTGACAAAGAAAAAGGAGAAAAACATTAAATGCTTTTAATTGTTTGAGATATTGATGCTATCTTCAAATCAGTTTATAATAAACAATCTGTTGCATTCAAATGTTAAGATACGTTTCATCCCATATTTTTTAGAAATTCACCTTTTTGAGAATTGACTATACAATGGAATTGTGTTATTTTTTACCTTTTTACATCAAGGAAGTAAGAAAAAATTTAGAAGTTATTCAAACTTTAAAAGGAGAAAAAGAAAAACATTGAATGCACCAATCTTTTGAGATTTTGCTAATACCAATTCAAATTGTTTTATGATATGTTAGCATTTACTGCTAAGGTAAAAAAGGAAAAAAGCAAACAAAATCTATCCACATTTAAATGTGAAAATATATTTCAGCCTATATAAATTAACATAATTTTCCAAGCACTTTAAGCAAAAAATGGTTGCTTATGTCAAAGAAAACTTTTTTTTGGTTCTTACTACTGTTCTACTTCTCTTTCTTGTGTCATCATCAAATGGAAACTTTAGTATGATGATTACAGAAAACGAGATCGACACCATATGCGCAAAAAAATTTCTCAATTCTTCACTTTGTTATGAGCTTCTAAAATCAACTCCTAAAATTGCAACTTTAGATTTTTATGGCCTTACCAAATTTCTGATCAATTATGACTATCGAAACGTTTCAGATGCAATGAATCAAATAAAGTTGTCTGCAGGCAATGCAACGGATTTACAGACAATTGATTTATGTGTAAGATTATATGAAAATACTCTTCATGACACTGGTCTTATCTTCGAAGCTCTGGCAGCAGAAAATTACGTAAGAGTAGTCGATTACATCTTTCGCTTAATTGGTGATGTGAGTGCATGTCAAGAAGAATTACTAATAATGAAGCCAAGACTAGAAGACTCGATCACGAGAAATAATGTCGTTATGAATATATCTTCCATTATAGCGTATATTTTGGAATGTTACCTAGTAAAAGATAAAACAAAATGTTAACTTACTAATGATATTTTTTTGTTCTTGTACTGCTGGCATTGCTTTTTTTTTTTTTATAAACACTAGAGATTTTCCCGGGCTACGTATGAGGTTTTCTCTTTATTTTATTTTAACTTAGTTTATTATATAATTTGTATTTGAATTTAATTTAGTTTACTATATAATTTGTATTTGAATATGCCAAAATTTGAAAAATCTATTTTTTCTTTCAATATAAAATACATCTAAGTTGGTAAAACTGAATAAAAGGATTTAAATTTAATTTAAACTCAATTGTTCTCTTATCTCGTTTATTTTAATGTTATGAAAATATGATTAAATTAACAATTGAAATTATCTGAACGTTTTTTACCCTTGTTTGAACATTAAAATCAATCAATATATTTAAAATTTAATATTGTATTTATTATTTGGTGAAATAAAATCTATATGAATTCGTTCTAAAGTGTTATGGCAGTGGTGAAATGAAAAACAATTGAAATTATGTCAAATATTTCTATTTCCATGCAGGAAAACAAAATATTAAAAGTATAATAATATTATCTAATAGCTATTTGTATGTTTCCCTAAGAATATCAGAATGTAATTGCTTTTTTTTTTTTTAAAGATTGACAATTTATGTCTTTTAATTGAGGTTCAATGATTTGTGTTCAATCATGTTCACTAATGGAAATTCTGGTTCAAAAAAGTCTTGAGGCTGGAGAGAGAGGGTTCATGGCGTGTGATGTACAAACCTCAATTTTTTTTTTTTTTTTTTTTTTTGTGAAACGTACAAACCTCAATATTACTCATTTAGTCTCCATGGTTCATCATACGAAGTATCATATTATTATTATATACTAGGATCGGCCCGCCCTACGGGCGGGATATACTTTAGTTGTGATCTAGATTATTATTACTTATATGATTTGTGGTTTATGTTTTAGGTTTGCATTTGGAAAACATGTGTACGATAACTGTTTTTTTTTTTTTGTATTTGAAAGGTTTTAGGTGATGAGAGATTATATATGAAAAGATATAGTTTACTTGTTTACAACGGTTATTTCTATATGAAAAATTGTGATATTGATATGTTGTGAGAGCATGATGTTTCCTATTTAAATTCTTTAATCTTATAATATTTGGTGTATTATTTGTGGTTTGTCAGATTTTGGGTCGGAAAGATTGGTTGTGGGTTTTATGTATAAAATTTGTGTGAATAGTTTTGGACCGTAGATAGGTGATGTTGGTAACGGATTATGATTGACTGGCCTTGATAGTAGAACTTAAAGATAGAGAATGGAAGTTGTCGAATTAACAGATCTTTTGGTTTGATGGTTTTTGTTATGTTAGCGTTGAACGGTCTTAAGCTTGAAGTTATGTTTTCGATACTATTTTGATAATTGCTTACAATTATTTTATACATTTTTTCAATCAAATTTGTATTTTATACTGTCGCTTTCATATTGTTTACAGTTTGGTTTTTAAAATTATTTTGTTGTTAAAGATATTTTCATGGTCGTGACGAAAAGATTACTATAATGTTGATTTATATATATTTTTTAAGATCAGTTAAACAATGTGAATTATTTCTGATATGTTTAAATGTTTAATGAAGGGGTCGGCACTCGGCACCCGTCTATTCATGTTTTGAGGTTTTAAATATAGAGAGTGAAATTTTATTTGGAAATTTTAAAGGTTCAAACTCGGTTTAGATTTGTAGGTTTTAATATCCATTTAAATTATGTAAAATTTATTTGAAAATAATAAAAAAAAATTTTAATCATCAACATTTTAGAATGAGAGTAATATACATATATGTTGGAATAACATATGATTAAATAATTATATCATGAAAATTAGTTTTACTGAATAGATGTTGAATGAATAACATTATATATATATATATATATATATATATATATATATATATATATATATATATATATATATATATTTTTTTTTTTTTTGGTGTTTTGAATTTTTTTTTACTATTTCGAATATTTACTTTTGGCTATTTTAAATACTATCTCATAATCTGGGAAATTTCAAGTATTTTTATTTCTTTTATATATTAGATACAATGATAAATAAATAAAGGAAGCTTCTTCGCTGGATAAGAAGACTTGACTCTTTTGTTTTCTTGCTTCCTTCTTATTTACAATGATACATAAATAAAGGAAGCTTCTTCTCTGGATAAGAAGACTCATTGTTGCTACTTACATTCCCATTGGCCTCTCACCTTGTTGACCTTCTGCAAGTTTAAGAGTATATATAAACATATATATGAAAACAAACCATGTTATCAATATAACTGAGTAGAATTTTGAAATAAATATAACTGACTAATTTATAATATATAATCCTTACATTAAATTTGTTATTCAGAATATTTTTTTCCATTATACATAATCTTTTATGCAATATTATGAAAATGAAGTTAATAGTGAATTTATATTTACTTAAAAAGTAAAGTCTTATTTGAAAATTTTAGAAAAGTTATTAACGTTTATTATTTTTGATGAAAAGGTTGCTTGTAATTAATTAAAATAACCCACTGGAAATATTTAATAAGCAAATTTAAATTAGAAGATTAAACAAATAATAAATAATTTGATTCTTTATTTTAAAAAATTTCAAAAAGATTTTGATTACATAACACTAAAATTTAATTGACCCGATTTGCCTAACTAATTGGTTTAGTTAATGAATTAATTAACTCATGAACTGAAAACATTCTGTGTGTTTTATAAAACTGTAATGACCTAGCTTGCTTAAGGAATTAGTTTGTTAAACCATCTCTCTCTTTTTTTTAAAATGTGTGTCGTGAGATCATAAATAACTAATTATTATTATTTTCTGATCAAGACATACCTAACTATTTACAACTTATTTTTAAAGAAATCAACAACGTCCTTGTCATCATCTTCCTCCTCATTCCCTTCTCTTCTCCTACTGTTTTTTTTTTGCCCTTTCCTTCACTTATAAGGATCAGGTGTCACGGTATTTTAGTTTGAATAAATAGTTTTTCGGATTACTTTTACTTTCGGTCATATCTCAATCCAACATATAGGGCAGATGGGGTGTTACATTTTTCTTTCAAATGCATAGGCAAGAGAGTTATTCTCAGGGACTGGATCATGTCTGAGGACTGAAGTTTGTATTGTTGTCATCGCTGTAGAGAAGGTGGAATCGAGTTGTCAAGAATGTCTGAGGAAGAGGAAACCTCTCAGGTTTACAGAATTAACAACACATAGCTAGCAGCATTACAAAAACATGTGACTGCATCCCATTCTCATATAGCTTCCCATGCACGAACAATGTATTAGTTTTCGTCCTCTTCTATAATCATAACTACTGCCTCTGTGCTGCGAGACAACCCATAACAGTTAGGACAGTCTATAAACTCATCAACATTTTTGGCTCGTTTTTGGTTGAGAGCTTTCCATTTTCCTGTACACCCACACATATCACCTAGTCATATAAACACATAAGAGCATCAATGTTAAGCTAATGAAGCTTTGCAGCATATTAAACGGAAACAGAGAATCGTTACGATTTTTATCAAAGTAATATGTTATCTTACGCAGAGTAATCATATGGATATAAGAGTTTTGTAAGCTAAGAAAATGTAACTCACAAAGAACTGCACCAATGGCCTTGCAGGCACGGAAAACCTCTGGTTTCTTATCTATAGCAGATGCGTTTTGGACAGAGACAAAGATATAAGCATTGGTATTTAAAGCTGGAGATAAGCATACACATGTCACCACCCACTGTCTCCGTGACATCGATTGCTGATCCCCCTGCAGGCCAAAAACACAAACCAGCTAAGAAATCTCAGAGATTTTTATTACCAAAAGGTAATGTAAAGCACGTGCATACGCAAGTGTAGATTTTAAACTACAGCTAGCTTAGCTCCCAATTTACGGTGACCAGTAACATTTAAAGGCATCCAATAATGTTCTTAGCATCAATGGAAGCCAAGAAAAAGATATTGACTTTCACAAAATAGTATTTAGTATAAATATAAAGAGACTTAGACTTTGCACCTGAGTTTCGTTGGGAGAAGAATCGAAATTGTTCCAACCGAAGCTTTGATTGTCTGAGCGCACTGAGCTACATCGAAACCAGACATGGAGTACATGGATCCGGCGGCGAGCCTATGCCGGAAAGTTTGGAGGCGGTTGGCATTGATGGTTGCTTGCATACTGTCGCCTGTGAAGAAAATAATAGAACACAGAAGCAATTAAAAAAGCAGTTAGACAGAGATTTATTTGAAAACGATTTCGATTCTAGATTAAATGATCACCTGACATTCTTCACCTCGCAGAAACTGAGAAGCCTGACCTCGAGAGTGGAGGACCACCGGCCAGTCTCCAGATCGGAAAGAAAAACTCTAGAGGTGTCCATTTCGACGATAGTAAGTAGTGAGAGAGGATGATGTTTTCCAGAGGAAGAAGCATACATATTTATACTCGCAGAGTCACCGACCCTGAGTAATCAGTATCTTGAACGCATTGATGTCGTGATCGTGGGGGTAAAGGAGTTACAAACACCATGGGAACGATGTCGAAGAAGGAGATGAAACACCACCCGTCACACAAAAGAACCTTCATGTCGTCTGTTCTGTCAAGAAGTCTAACCCTAAAACGACGGCATTTGATAAACATAACTATTGAAGAACGGAAGACGTGGAACCTTATAACTTTAGGCCCATATAATTGTAGAAGGCCCAACTGATCAAAGAATAGAACAATTAAACGCAGACTTTCGACAGAGAATAACACGTGTCAAACTGCAGGAGAATGAATTGATGACGTGGCATATCACATGAAGGATGCAAACATTTCTTTATATATATAGATTTTACCGGAATAGAAAAATCAGCATTTGTGTAGGTAGAGAGTAAACCATAAGTATTAAGTATGGAAAATAAGTGAAATTAATCATCAAAAAAAAACGCTTTACAAAATTCTGTAAGATTCTCATTTGTTCTTTCCTTTATGTAAACATCAAAATGTTTTCTTCTTGACCCTGTAAAATGTTATTTCTTTCTGCCTGAAGTAACAATGTTCTTCTTGCACACAAGATTCAGATAATACTTGACATTAAAGTTTTCTTTAATTTTCTGAGAATCTATTGTAAGAAGCTAATGGGCCAAATACAAAAACCCATTTAAAAACTCTTGATTTCCAGCCCACTTTAATGAGAAACGCTTGAAGATGCTAGTCCCTACGAAAAAGCCTTCTCGAACGATCTCTCTTCCCCTTCTCTCTCTCTCAGTCGTCTCCCTCCCCGTCTCGATCGGTAAATCCCTCGGAGAATAACCGCCTCAGCACTCCGTGAAGGCGCCAAAAAATCGGTAAATCTCTCATCATTATCTCCAGATCTATATCACTTATCATCTCTAATCGAACGAGTTTGTGATTTCTCGTATCAGCTAAGAAAAAAAAAAGATGTCGATGACCGACGAGCCGCTTTACCCGATCGCCGTCCTCATAGACGAGCTCAAGAACGACGATATTCAGCTACGCTTGAATTCGATCAGAAGACTCTCGACGATCGCTCGCGCTCTCGGCGAGGAGAGGACGAGGAAGGAGCTGATTCCGTTTCTGAGCGAGAACAATGACGACGATGATGAGGTGTTGCTTGCGATGGCTGAAGAGCTGGGAGTGTTTATACCTTACGTTGGTGGCGTTGAGCATGCGTATGTGCTGCTTCCTCCGTTGGAGACTCTCTCGACGGTTGAGGAGACTTGTGTGAGGGAGAAAGCGGTTGAGTCGCTTTGTAGAGTTGGGTCGCAGATGAAGGAGAGTGATTTGGTTGAGCATTTCGTGCCGTTGGTTAAGGTTAGAGATAAGGGAGGAGGATGATTAATAAGTCATGGTTTCATTTCATTTCTCATGTTATTTGGTAGATTGAACGTATCAAGAATGAAAAAACGAAGATACTAGAAAATCTAGACGACTCAAGAAAAACTATATTAAACTCTCATTAGAAGATGTGATAAAAAAAAAAGACTCTCATAAGAAGTTAGCTAGTTACAAACTTACAATATGCATAAGTTTATAAAGAATGAAGTTATGTTAGACTCATAAGAAAGAAGTTACAATATGCATATGTTTATAGAGACATTTAAGTTATATTAGACTCTCATTAGAAATAAGTTACAATGCATATGTTTGTACAGATATTGAAGTTATGTTATCCTCTCAAAGTTTTGGAATAGGCAACCACTAGGTTAAAGAAAATACGACCGTGCTGGTTAGTCTATGTTGTCTTGAGATAACTAGCAGTTTGTTTTTTGGATGTATATGTGACATGACATATTCGTTTAGAACTTTGCATTATGTTTCATTGAAATAAGGATTTACTGAAGATTTTTGCTCCTTGTGTAACAGAGACTTGCAGCTGGTGAGTGGTTCACAGCCAGAGTATCAGCTTGTGGGGTTTTCCATATTGCATACCCTAGCGCACCAGATACGGTGAAGACTGAGTTAAGATCAATATATACCCAGCTCTGTCAAGATGATATGCCAATGGTGCGAAGAGCTGCAGCAACCAATCTGGGGAAATTTGCTGCTACTATTGAATCAGCTCATTTGAAGACTGACGTTATGTCTATGTTTGATGATCTTACTCAAGATGGTAAGTTGTTATTGTTATGGTTCACACTGTGGCTTTGCTGCTTGTTGAAGCATTTATTTGTCGATCATTATTAACTCTGCCTTTGCGGGTGGCGAATGTAAATAAACTAATGGCCAGCAGGACTTGAAATGCATTACACGCTGAGCATTAGCTGAAGTTAGACATGAATATGATTGTCCATGTCTGTATAGTTATCTAACATTAGTTACATCTTACGGTTCTTTATTTTCCATATTGGTCTCATATCAGATCAAGATTCCGTTAGATTATTGGCGGTTGAAGGTTGTGCTGCTCTTGGGAAATTGTTGGAGCCCCAGGATTGTGTCGCACACATTCTTCCCGTGATTGTTAATTTCTCTCAGGTGATTATGTGTGATATATCTGATGATCCTTGGGTAAACTACACTTATGAGATGGTTAATCTTTTTACTTTGTCACTGAGCAGGATAAGTCTTGGCGTGTGCGTTATATGGTAGCAAATCAGCTTTATGAGCTTTGTGAAGCCGTGGGACCTGAGCCTACTAGGTAAGAAGTCTTAGAGAAATATGCATTTCTATTTTAAACATTGGTTTACCTCTTCATAGGTATGATTATTGATCTATTTGATGAAGCCCCTTGCCTCTTTCTAATACTAATTAATGTCCCTTCTATATTAAGGACGGAATTGGTGCCTGCATATGTGCGTCTACTTCGTGACAATGAGGCTGAAGTACGCATAGCTGCTGCTGGAAAAGTTACTAAGTTTTGTCGGATCCTCAATCCTGAACTTTCTATTCAGCACATTCTCCCATGTGTAAAGGTACATTCTTAAGAGACCGGTGTGAGAATCTCATTTTTTTCAAAGAATTAATTGACTCAACGTTGAAAAGCTATGCTTTATACTAATAGTTTCTTTTAATTCTACCTGTAGGAGCTATCAACAGACTCATCTCAACACGTCAGATCTGCATTGGCCTCAGTTATAATGGGAATGGCCCCGGTCTTGGGTAAGGTAAGAGAGTTCAATCTTGTTTAACTCAGCCCTTTCGTTCAATAATTGCGCCCGGAAAGTGCCCATTAGCGGTTGCAGATTTAACTTTTACATCGTTTTTTTTTTCATTGCAGGATGCAACAATTGAGCATCTCCTTCCAATCTTTCTTTCTTTGTTGAAAGATGAGTTTCCTGATGTCCGCTTGAACATTATCAGCAAACTTGACCAAGTGAATCAGGTTTGTTATGACCATGTCACCCAAATGTTTTCTCCTGCCAATGGTTTTATAGATATCATGTTACTCTTTTAACTTAACCTTTCTTGCTTATCAATTTTCACTTGATGATTTCAATATATTTCTATATCTGGCAGGTTATTGGGATTGATCTACTATCACAGTCCTTGTTGCCAGCAATCGTAGAACTTGCTGAAGATAGACACTGGAGAGTACGTCTTGCTATTATTGAGTACATCCCTTTGCTGGCAAGTCAGTTAGGTGTTGGCTTCTTTGACGATAAGCTTGGCGCTCTTTGCATGCAATGGTTACAAGACAAGGTTTTACTTTCTCTCTCAAACCAAAAAATAGTTTAAATAACAAATCAATTTCCCCTTATAAATATTCTACGAATGGTCTCTTCAGGTTCACTCAATCCGTGAGGCTGCTGCAAACAATGTGAAACGTCTTGCTGAGGAATTTGGTCCTGAATGGGCAATGCAACATATAGTTCCTCAGGTTTGTCTAGATTTCTGAAGAATCAGTATTCACCTTCTTATTAGAGTCAACCAATGGTTTTTCTTTCATCTAATTGCAGGTTCTTGAGATGATTAACAACCCTCACTATCTATACCGTATGACCATTTTGCGTGCGGTTTCTCTTCTTGCACCAGTGATGGGCTCAGAGATCACTTGCTCTAAGCTCTTACCTGTAGTAATGACTGCGGCTAAAGACAGGCAAGTTCTCATTGTAAACTAGTTAAGACTCGCATCATTTTGCTTCAACTTTCTTCAAGTGTATAAACTAGTCTTGTTTTCACAATTACAGAGTTCCAAACATCAAATTCAATGTCGCTAAAGTGCTTCAATCTCTCATTCCAATTGTGGATCAGTCGGTAAGTGTGTGTGTATATATATATTATTATCAGTCAAAACATCTATCTGGTTTGGTTTTAATGTTTGGTTTGGTGGTGAAAAGGTTGTAGAGAAGACGATTCGTCCAGGGCTTGTGGAGCTAAGCGAGGATCCAGATGTTGATGTCAGGTTTTTTGCAAACCAAGCTCTTCAGTCTATTGATAATGTGATGATGTCTAGCTAAGAAAACGTTTAGATCTTTGTCTCTCTCTCTCTCTCCCTGTTTTCTATTTGATGCAAGATGATAAACTCCCCAGACTTTGTAACGTAAGTAAGTGAGGATTCTTGTGTTCTGTTCTTTTCTTTTTCATTTCATGCAAAAATACTTGAGTGACTCGGGTTTTGTCTATTATCTTGCAACTAGTGTGTTCTCGAACATTTTTCCGCAGAACATGTATGTCTTCCTACTTCCCATTACAACTGTCTGTCTTCCTGATGGTTTTGAATGGTTGTTCAGTCTCCTCAAGTGCAAATTAATCGGAACCAACATGTTGTGAATTACGTGTTCGTTATAAAATATTACATTTTAAAATCCAACTATGATTATAACTGAAAAATATTGTTATATATCAAAATTTAAGGATCAGACCCTGGTAAGTAGATTATTCATTGCATTCTCATTCTCAAGTATGATTGTGAAATTCTAAATATGTTTTGTCGACGTACACAATTTCTCCAGAAATATCAGTTAAATAATATGATTAAATAACTAGAGTTATTTCGAACAGATTTAAGTAACAAATCAAACTACTTAAACTACATTTATATGTTGTTCAATCTATGTGCCTAGAAGAGTATAATTTAGGTTTAGTATCTGACTGGTTCAAAAGTAAAGGCCGTGACTGCGGCTATAGAAGTTTACGGATGTGGGTAGTTATAGTTTTCAACGTTAACGTTAGTAAACAATTTGTACGACTGACAAAAAGTTAGAATTAATGTGTTTGTATGATAATTATGATTGATTGACTATCAAATACATCATATTATAAAAATATTTAAATCATATTATTCTGATAAATATAAAAAGTTATTAATTAATATTTATAACAATATTATGTTTATTTCTAACTTTTATTTTATTTTATTTTAAATGAAAGTTATAATCGCAACGAAAATTTGTTTATATAGATTTATATTAGATTATTTTTAAATAGTCTAAACATCTATCTATATATATTTAATATTATAGTGAATAATTTTGGTTTAAAAATTGTTATAGAAACTATGACATTGTTAGTGCATAAAAACTAAAATATAAAACTATAAAATGTATTCATATTATTTCATTTAAAATTTAATATAATATTAAAATATTTTACAAAAGGTCCTTAATTTTAATTTATTCATTTACCCACAATCACGAACAAGAGTTAAAATCAGATTTTCATTTGAGAGATTTGGAGTCGTTTTGCAACGTTTTGTGATTGTTATAAAACGTTAATAAATGATGTGTTTGCCAGTGGTTGCTGTAAAACAATTCAAACCAAGTTTGGGTTTAGAGAAAATGTCTCTGAAACAATTGTAGGCCGTTATTTTATTTTGTTTTCTGTAGAATAAATCACAATCTTACGAGTTTCTGAAAATCCTCCTGATAAGAATTTCCTAATAAATCGCTAATTTAATAAATACTAGTAGTGTGTCCGTGCGCCGCGTTTCGCGCGGATTGTTTCCATTTTTAAATGTTATATTAATATTACTGTAGAAGTTGACGAGCTCGAGAATGGTTTAATCGTATTGTGCCCATGAAAATATTTCTGCTTACAAATAAAATAAAAAACAAATTCAATTAGAGTTTATTTGCCAAATAGCCACAAAAAGAATTAGATTTTTAGCTAAAAAATAACATGTATTATTTAACTCTAATTTATCATAAAGATATGCATATATCTTATATATATATGTATGTATATAAAGACTTATCATTATTTACCACAAACATACTAAATAAAATGAAATTAGATTTGATTAGATGTTTTTACATTAATCTTAATTAGCTTGTTTGATAGAGATATAAGTTTGAAGCTTTCCTGTTTTACTTCTTGAAGTTTTTTTGCTTTCAATATTTTTTTTCTAGTTTTTTACCCACAATTTCTATTTCTTTGGCTTAGTATATTTAGTAATTCATTAAGTATTACAAACAAAACTAAAATTATAAATCTAATGAAAACAATAAAACAGCATGTCACAGAGGGCAAATATTTTTTTGTAAAACGATTATACGTGGATAGTCACACATTATAGTACAGAACACACTAACAAAACAAAGAGAAGTATTATAGAAGATAACAAATACCTGATATTTTGCTACTAAAGAAATTCAAACTTTTACTGTTCAAAGAAGATAACACGAGGAGAAAGCAAGCCTCCTAGCCCCAATCTATTTCTCTCGATCAAAGAAAAAACATGTGTCCTGTGTAAATATAAATCCCGGTCGGCTTAACATTCAGGAGGGCTCTAGGGCAAAACAAAAAAAATTGGGCCCTATAATTATTATTTTCGTTTGTATTTTTTAAGTTTTAAAAACTTAATTCACTATATTTGGGTCTTTGTTATAAAAAGAAAAGAAAATCTATAGGCCCTATAAAATTAACACAATAAGCACCAGAATAATTATTTTGGGCCTGTTGTAAAAAGAAAACAAAATATATGAGCCCTTTATGGTATTAATTTTTTGGGATTTTTGATGGGCCCTGGGCGGGTGCACTGTTTGCCCTGCCCATTAAGCCGGCCCGGGATAGACAGCAAAATGAGAAAGAAAAAAAACTTTAATTAATCAAAAAGCATCAAAGAGAGTATAATCAGTCTCCTCGCTGATTTATTCAATAGTTGCAAAACCATGAATCATGAAAGGTATCAATACCAGTATACAACACTTAATCGTGGACATGCACTGCAGATCCGCGGGTTCTTGCAACCACCGCCGCTGTCTTGGAGAAGCCAGCACATCATGGGTCTCGAAAACCACTCCCAAGATCCGACGAACTCAAAACCACACAATACTAGAGAACTGCAACCCGCATTTTAGTGATATGACACAATGTGGAAGTGAAAGGTTATGTTTTGATCTCTTCTTCTTCTGCTCCTAAAGAAGTAGCATATGTTTTCATATTTTGTTTGTGATCGAAAAGAAATTGCTCTGCTGTTTACTTATCGAATATTTATAGGAGTATGAACCTTGATAAAGAAGATCATGGATAATGACGTAGTGTAGTGGGTTTTGAGAAACCGTATACAGTTGCTTTTTTCCTTTTCTAAATTATTAGTTTTAACTAATTAATTTTAAATTTTGAAAATATAATTAGATGTCAAATTTTCATTGGTAAAGTGATATAAGATCATGATCTCCCTCTCCTCTCTGGAATAGGATGAGTTTTAAAAAAAAATTCCGGTTATATATAAATACATCGAATCCTCAATCTTCCTCCTTATCTCTTCTTGTGTTCTTCTTTTACGTGTTGCTCTCCTCTACAAGTTACATTAGCAAGTGTCTGTAAGGAGACAAAGACAATGCTGCGTTACTTCATTCCCATACCTAAAACCAAAAAGGTAGTAAGACTTCGAAAATTTTCTCGTTATCCTTCGTTGCTATTAGTGGTTTTCGTCTAGTGGTTACCTTGTCATCGAACGTTTCATTGTTAGTAGTATTAGATTTTGATTAGTGTCCGAGAAAATTAACAGTAGAGCCTTCTTTGGTTTTGAACAGATTGATTTCGGGGATGTGTTCAAGTTTACGCAAAAGGGAACGGAAACTGAAATTGACATAAGCTTGTACCGTAAAAAAGTGGAGGATTCAATCAACAGAAGCTTCTATGGAGTTGAGGCTATTGTTAGAGAGGTAAAATCTTTTTGAAAACAATTTTTTAGGTTTTTTTTTTTTGTTTCTTAGTCAAAGTAGAGGGTTATTTACAGTATCGGCCCTGAGGGGAAGCATTACAAGCAACCGCTTCCGGCCCTCAAAAAATATTTGAAAAATTCAGCCTTTTTTATAAGAAAATTATTATTATAGTATATAAACGTTCTTATAAAAATGGCCAATTTTTTGAAAATTGCTTCTGGTCTTTCTCATGTCAGGACCGGTGCTGGTTATTTAATCTAGTTTTGTTTTTTGTTTCTTTATTTCAGGACCTTGTTAGCATTAAACAATACCTTTATATACTCCGACGTTTAGTAGACCATATGAATAAGCCTTTTACTAAAGAACTCAACAATCGTTTCATTAAAACTCTCAAGTTACAATGGAGCAGTGGTTTGAACTTAGATTGCAAGTCTTCAAATGGTCTAAGCCTTTCGAGTATATTTCAGCTTAAATCAAGAATATTCTTTCAATCTAGTGATATAATGTTTGAGATTTATATGATACTATTTATCTACGCTCTAAAGCTGAGAGAGAAAGCAATGTTGTTAATCTCCACAGGTTATCTTTATTTTTCATACTAAATAACCTTTTTCGCCATGGGCTTATCGATGTTTTTTTTCCTCTATAACTGGGGTGATGACTTACTTTATGTTGATTAAAATCAGATATGGTGGAAACCACAAAGGCATATAGAGAAGCAGCTGGTGTTTTTGACTATCTATGTAAGATAGGTCGTCCTGATTATTCATCTATCAAGAAGTTTCCGGAATTAACATCTCCCGTTTGCTCCTTTTTGAAGCTCCTTTGTTTAGCTGAAGGACAGGTCAGTGTTTTCTCATTTTTGCTTCCATTAGATTGTGACTAAAGACTATAACAAACATTGTCAAGTTTGGCTATAACCAAGTATTATTGCGATTGTTACATGAACAAATTAAACTAGACCTTGTTGTTCATACATATTGGATTTTGATAAGTACATTTAGGTTTATTAGGGCGTTGTCCTTTAAATAATCTGCTGAACATGTTCAAAACAGGCTGTGACGGCAAATAAGGCCGAAGAGAAGGGAACAAGTGCAAGTCTAGTGGCAAAGCTCCATTACGGTGTAACGCAATTTGTTGCGGAAGCCAATGCTTCTCTCTTATCCAAAACAAACACCCAAGTTAAAGAAATCTCGTCCCAATTTTCGGTAAGTACTTAATTATCGCATAATCTCACAAAATCTTGAAGAGTTTGAGTAGGTTCTTTAATTAAAGTTTCTCATGATTTTGATAAAACCAGAATTATGTATCGACATTGGGTGCTTTGCACGAGCTAAAGAGTGGAAAACACTTAGCTGAAAGCTTGGAATCAGACGGGGAATTAGGAGAAGCCATCGGAGTCTTGAGCCGTGCGTTGGCCAGAGCGAAAATGACGACTCAGTTCCGGGATGACACGTGGAAATCGATCTTCAAGAAGGAGAGAGAGCAGGTGACTACAATGACGAACAAGTACGAGCGTTTAAACAATTCCATGATGCTTCAGCTTATCCCTTTAGAAGCTGACTTGCCTACTCTTCAAGGTGATAAGATTGTAAAGCTAATCCCTTACATTCACCAAAAAGAGACGAACTTAACTTTGAGTTCTTGTAAGATATCAAATTGACCGTTTATACGGTTTTTTTTTGGCGCCTGTTTACATATTCAATTCTCGTTCTGTTTCATTATAAGTGTCATTAGAGTTGTGCACACAGATTAATAAAACATTTAATGTTACATATTTTCTATATAAAAACATAATTACCAATACACCTAAGCACAATTTAACCAACAGAAAAATAAGATATAATAATAAAATTTATAAATATTTTATTAAAAACTGAAAACAACACTTATTTTATAACGGAAATTTTTTTCTACAATCACACTTAATATGAAGAAATAATAAGAAACAATTTTCTGAGCGAAGTGCATTGAGACTTTTGTTTTCTATGCAAATAAATCAGTCATAATAATTAATGTACGGATTTACCCCGCTGTTTCTTTATTTTATCGTTTCTTCTTATTCCTTTTTTTTTTTGATCAACTTATTTCTTCTTATTCCTTATTCTATAAAGATACTCTTAAGATTTTTAACTGTCTTTGGTTATAAACTACACCATGTTCATTGTATCGCATTACAATCAGATCGGACAGCAAGAATATGCGCTTTAATTAATAACATTTTAGCAATATAAATAAATAAGAGATGGTTAGCTTAGTTTTCAAATCAATTATACCAAAGGTGTTTGAGCTAGTGTTAACTATTTCAAAGTTATTGACTTATAACATACCAATTAAATTTCTACCAAAGGATATTTAACTTCTTACTTTCAATAAAAAGTATTCGCCCACACATCTAAATGTAAACTCTAAATAACTAAGATTATATGGAAAGAAAGAAAATATTTATAATTTTTAAAAATGGTGTCGAATGTATTTGTACTACAACCAATTTGATAGTTAAAATTTGTACTACTATCGTACACCGTATACCACCTTTTTAATAACAAAATAAGATGATGTTGTTTTATGTACTTAGTTATTTTGGTAAAGATGTTATCGTACTATTAAGGATGTAATCAAAGGGTACAACACTAAGAATATTTCCCACGAGGCACCAATAAGAACCATACTAAAAAAAAGGATTTTGTTTTCATCTAATAACCATCAACAAGTTTTAATAAAATCAAGGGTTGTCGCCAAAACATGAAATAGTTCCTTAACATTTTAAAATCATAAAGAATGGCTAGTTTATTTGTAGGTCTATTCGGCAAATCTTTTGGTCCATTAACCCAAATTATGTTAAGAACACTCAACATTGAGATAATGAGCTTTCGTAAAAACAAATTCCAAAATTTATTTTCTGCTGAAGTAATAAACTGAAAAATATGTTTTTTGTACGTGAATATATGCTTTTGGTAATGCTGGCCACAAATACTTGATACTCGGCTTATACTCACTACTTAACTCGGTTTGGTTTAAAAAGACAAATACTTGTTACAATCAAGTAAAGTAATAAGTAATCGGATTTTATTACTCGCAAGTATAAGTTAAGTATCAAATTCATTTTTATTTTAACCACTTAGTTTGTTACTTGTTATCATTTACTTGTCATATTATTTGTTATATATTCATTGATTTCTAAAAATTTAATATCTATTTTATTAGTTAGTAAAAATTTATGTATTACATTTGATTAATTACCATAATTACTCGTTGTTTGCCTCTTATTCAATACTTAATAGATAAATGATCTTTAAAGATTAATATTTATTATGAACAAATTAAGTATCAAGTAATCTATTTAAATTACTTATAAGTATAAATTAAATATTAAATAACTTAATTACTTGACGTTGTTTTGTTTGTTACTTGTGTTTGTTAATGAACAAAAATATTTTTTTTTCTAAATCATAGTAAAATAACTCATTTCTATTCTCATTTTCATAAGTATATCAAACATAAGTTCTATATTTATATAGGCATTTTGAAGTTTTCTGTTCTTATATAGTTCATTTTTCGAATAACTAAATACAAGAAAATAATGACATATTATTTATATATTTAATTTATTTAATTATAAATTTTAATGAACTATCGAATAATTTACCAATAATTATAAATGGATTTCAAAGTAATTTACAAAGAACAAGTAATAAAATAAGTCAAGTAACTTACAAGTACGTCAATTTTTTGCAAGTACTTGAAACTCCAAGTACTTGTTTTTTGCAAACCAAGTACAGGTCAAAATATTTACTACTCGTACAAGTCAAGTACTAAATATACCAAAAATATCGAGTACTCGACTTGTGTCCACCCCTAACTATTAACATCAGTATTACTTGTTATAGTTTACGGGCAGCTGTCTGACAGTTCATATTAGTTTAATTTAAATTGAACCATGTATTTTTGATAGAAAATCATGTAATATTGAAGAACAGATGTTTCCATTTCAACTGGTTTGGACTGTTGACCTTATCATCATCGTGGATAGAAGAAGGATTTTTTGAAAGACTGACTTCTTAGTTTACTCGTAGAAGACTATTCACATTGTCAAACTTGGTTTGATAGATCCTAATCTCATTTTAGAGAAGCTTAAAACAAGATTAGCACAAACTTTAAATAGTGTTCACATCAACTGTTATGTTTATACGTGAATGTGACAACCATAGAATGAACTAACATTATAAAACTACTAATTAGGTCTAGTCGAATATTCCATATGGATATAACATTAGTATATTACGAGAAGTAGACCAAGAAAAGCATTGGTTGCTTTTATTTCTGATATCGTCCTAAAGTTAGTATCAAGAGCTGTTTAGGCTTTTCGTGACAGCGAAAGGTCGCATAAACACCTTCTTTGATTAGCTTAACCCATCCCTGACCTATTTATTAATAATCATATCTTAAGGAAACCCTAATCAGAATCCTGTACTTTTGATCTATCATCAAAATATTGCATTTATTTTCTATATAATAATACATACACATATCTATAGAATCTTAGATAATGTTAAAATATTACCGACGATTTGAAATAGATCAAACCGTCATATCGAAAACGTCAATAGCTCTTCTCTAGATTCAAGTTCCCCATAGCTTTCCCATTAAAATTTAACATCATATTTTCATCTAACTTCCCGACTAATGCACATCATCTAATTTTATTTTTAATATATTCATTGTAACAATTCAGTTGTTAAGTTTTATTCAATATTTTCATATTAGAATAAGTTTTACAAATAAAATTATTTGCCAACTTTTAAAAGTTCAAACAAGTTGATGCGAAATTAAATAATACTAATATACAAATAATTTGAGCTTTGCCGTAAGCTTAGCAACCAATCCATTTTGAAATTACAATGTTTCAAAAATTTGAAGTGTTTTAAGAGTAAAAATTTATTTGTACAACTACAAACTAAAAACATTCTGATTAAATCTTGATTTTGTATAAAGCTTTACGTAGTTACAAAAATTGTAATACATTAACAATACTACTAAAAGGCAACAAATAAAGAATAATACACTCAACGAAAAGGAGCCACCCTGCACATTGTATTATAATCAGGTAAGAGAATAAATTTAACTGGTGTTAAAGAATAAAGAAGAAGGTTGTAACTCTCATTTTCTTATTCATCACGTGCACATACATATATATACATACAAGAGAATAAGCATATTCCTTAGGAGATAAGGATTACAACAATAAAGGGGATGATTATCCTAATCCTATAATGATTAGGATAACTACAACATATGGATAAATACAAAGGAGGATAATGACAAGT